ACAATGTGGATATTAATAAATTATAAAGTAAATACAATTTGCAATAAGCCTTTAAAAAATGTACAATATAAATATAACAATTAATTATTATTTTAATGTATGGTCTTGGTTGAGATGAAAAAGTCAGCGTTACGAGCGGGATTCGAACCCACGACCTTAGGCTTTTTCATCTCAACTAAGACCTTATAAAAAAGAATAATTAATTGGCTTAAGTAATTTGGTCAATTACACACTAATCATAAATAGATAAATATCAATGTTTAAAACGTTTTATAGTGCACTATACTGCACTCTCAACACGACACACAATAATGACACATCTACACAGAAAACAAATACTTTGATTCAATCTGCAATTTCTAGCATTGTGTAAATTCTTATTTTTCACATCCTCCATAAACAAACAATGTTTAGAAATCACAGGTCCTGAAGATGATCTCAATAAAGATCGAAACGTTAGCAAGATAAAGAAATGTTGTTATGTATATTTTTATAGTTCGAATGCCGATGGTGACACTTTTTTCATCAGGATTTGTAGCTCAGTGGTCTTTGACTTTGGAAAAAAGTGTGTCTGCTTTTTCGGAGGCTATTTTAATGTGGTTCTAGGATAGAAATATACTTCGTTTGTGTGACAATGACTGGACGAATGGAATGGACATATGGTTTGTGTGATTAGGTTGATGATTTGTGTGCTGTTGAATATGTTATTGATTGTAGTGTTAAAATAGCCTTCAAAAACCACAACACAGTACACCCAGTTTTTTCCAACGTCGGCAAAACTCCTTACCACTACAATAAATTATATAATTTTAGTGTTTTTGTTTTGTATTTTTGAGTTTTTTAAATGAAAATTTCTTATTTAGAAATTTAGTGACCGTTAATTAATGGATTATCTGGAGATCGTGAGATGCGATCTGGTGTGAAACACTGATAGAAAAACATTTTCTTTATCGTGCCAACGTTTCGATCTTTATTTAGATCACCTTCAGGGCCTGGGATTTACAGAGTTTTCATTTTCACATATTACATGTATTCGTATAATCCAAACACTGTTTGTAAATCCCAGGCACTGAAGACGATCTAAATAAAGATCGAAACGTTGGCACAAAGAAAACGTTTTTATAAACCTACATCACACAAGACCGCATCTCACGATCTCCAAATAATCGAAAATTTCTGGTATGACACCATTATAACTTGCAAACATTTAATCTGTTACTGTTTTCAAAATAATGATACCAGTAAAAAAGTGCATATTTAGACAATAACATGAAACTCATCAACACAGGTAAGTTCCACATTTTCACCTCATTTTTCCACCAAAAAAAGAAAAAACTCGTGTGCCCATAGTAAACATTTCATAAAGATATGTGACTGAAACATCGCTCGGTCGGATTTATCTGGGGTCACAAAAACGCGTTCCACGCATTTTTTCACTTTCCCTCGCTTACCTGGGTGGATTTTTCGACATCCTCGAAATCGCCTTGATGCCCTATGTCGCCGCTTTTCACCATTTTCGACTGGCTCGTTGTTCACAGATCTTTGGGATCTCAATGAGACATTTTATCTATCTATTACCCATTCACTCTCCCCCTCCTTATTTTAGCCGCAGTAAAAAGATAGCTTATAAAACAATTATGGATTCAAGCCGATTTAAATTACATGGAGGGGAGTGACGGCTCACTTTGAAAAATAAAATTACTTATCAAAAACTCCATTTTTAAATTCGTTAAACGCGATTAGACGAGTTTTGTTTCGCACTATTTTCGACGGTTTCTTCTTCAAAAATTGACCTGAAACTTCTCCATTTGTAGAAGACAGTACCAATACTGTTTCCTTAAGAAAACTGCTTTACTAACTTAACAATTTAAATATTGTCATTTTTTTCTTTTTTTAAAGGGCATCCGACAGTTTGGTCATTTCAGCCCTGCCAGGTCATATTATACAGGGAATACTTGTAATGATTGTTCACTAGGATCGAGGTTGTGGTCCCGGTCCGGAGGTGCTTCTTAATCTAAAAAGTTCACTCCAAGTTCTGCCAAGCTTTCGGCTTTATTTGAAGTCATTTTCTGGTCTTCTCCTGTGAATAATCCACCCTTTTACTAATAAAATTATTGGTTTTATGATAAAACATAAAAGCCAATAAAGCATCCATCTTCCTTGGCAAGAATGCCCTTCAATTGAAATAATCAGGATTAACAAAACATGATCGTACAAATCAAGTCCAATATTAAATCCCTAATTGGAAAAGAACAAAAACCAATTGCAACGCAAATTGAAAAGAATGTCATACTGTCAACATCCAATGAAGAAGAAGAAATAGTAGCCAAAGAAACGGCATTTCTTGTTCAAAATAATAAAAAAACAAAATTATGTCTTTGCCTGAAAAATCAAAACAATTATATTCACTAATTTCGTGGCCCGCTTGACCAATTAAATCATTACAATTAATTAAGGTTTTTGTGGCAAAAGGAGGGAAAACTCATTAGGTGGGGTTGAGATGGGGAGTTGATGTCCGAGCGAATCGAGGTTACGATAGCTCAGGTGGTAGAGCAGCGGCGTATCTAGCCGAAGGTCGTGGGTTCGAATCCCTCTCGTGCCATTAACTTTTTTTCATCTCAACTGAAAACTTTAATTAATTGTAATGTATTAATTGGTCAAGCGGACCACGAAATTAGTGAATTTAATGAATTAAAATGAAGTACACTTCACTAAAGCTCTCCGTCGCCATTTCAATTGTCGTCGAGAATCCAAACCGATTACACGACATTTGAAAAATGGCAAAAGGAGGGAAAACTCATAAGGTGGGGTTGAGATGGGGAGTTGATGTCCGAGTGGATCGAGGTCACGATAGCTCAGGTGGTAGAGCAGCGGCGTATCTAGCCGAAGGTCGTGGGTTCGAATCCCTCTCGTGCCATTAACTTTTTTTCATCTCAACTAAAAACCTTAATTAATTGTAATCAAAACAATCTTCAATCAAAACTTTAAGCAATACATTGGATCTAGCCAAAATCTCAGTTGATACTTGATCAGACAAAAAGCAAGCAAAGGATATGAAGCTCTTCAATAACAGAAAATTAACTTTTGTTTCTATTCTCAAAACTTGTGGCTCTGTTCTGCTGTCCTCTTCAGTTTCAGAGAGGGGAGATTTCACACCGGATGGTGGAAGTGCTGCTGATGATGAAAGAGCTTCGCTTTCACTCTGTTCCTCATCATAGTATTCTCCCCTTTGTCTTCTGGTAACTATTTTCTTGTATTCTTCCAGCTCTTGGTCTGAGACGCAGTCAAATGGATTTTTTGCATACGGGGTTTTATAGACGGTGGCGTTATGCTGGAAACCTCGTTGAATGATGCCTTTTGAAGCAGCACCCACAAGTATCACTTGATCCCCTGTCATGCTTATGTTGGCGTCCTGAAGCTTCTTCGCTTCTTCCCAAGATACACCTTCGAGGATGTGAGACTGAGGCCCTGAAGTTATTTTATCAGCTAGTCGATTTTCTTTTATCTGTTGTTGAAGTTTCTTGAACTCATTGGGATTTGTGTTCTTAGGAACGAACCGGAGAGCTGTGTCGATTTTGACAGGTGTGCTTGCATGTGTGGGAGAGACATCGGAAGTTAAACTCATTCGTAATGACCAAACATTAACATTGACGATAAATCTGGGTATAAGAGAATTACAAAACTCATGAACAGATCAAAAAAAACATGGAGTGGCACATACGAAAATTAAAAAAACCAGGCCCATAAGAGCCAGGAATCTGCATTCATCGTATGATCCGATAGATAATATCCATAATTTTTTTTCCACTAGACCAACTTAGTTTAAGTGATACACAGTCTTGTATTAATTACTTCGCATCAGACATCTGATTATAATAAATCTATCACAAGCCTTTTTCAACAATGATGGAAATAGTTTAATTTATACATATATTATATAAGCAATAACATTAAATAAATAATTATGTATAACAACAATGTGCATAATGCCCACTATATTCAAGGAATGTCCAATACATCCTATGCGGCATTATCCTCGATGCTATCTTGTTCCCCAGTTGGAAGTGTACGGCTCCTTTTACTGCTGGTAGTCTGGAGTGAAACTTTCTGATCTCTCTTGGATTGTTTCTCCAATGGAAGGTATATTGAGTTCCCGGTGCAATTGAGAGTTACGCACAAATCACGGTGCATCTACTGCAATCCTCGGAATTTTGTTCTGTAGTACCTGAATTCTTTTGATTTTGGAAGGTGACGCAGCCATCCATAATTAAGACTTTAAGATATCAATTTTTAATAAACTAAGAAAGACAAAGGAAAACAAAGTTGAAAAGTCAACTCCGCTTCCTTTATTCATGCTCAGTTTTGAAAATACCGAAAACATTACAAAATCTTTACAATACGAAATATGTCATTTGAAAGTAAAGATCGTAGGAATCAGAAACAGCAAGTTAACGTTTCAATGCAAAAGGTGACAATGATATCGTCATAAAGATATTGTAATCACACTCCAATATGCATGAAATGTGCTGGTGCACATCTAAAATGTGATCCCGGTCAGAAAGGTCACAACGGAAATCACTAGTAACTTATGCTAATTATCAGGGTCAGTCAACAAGGGTCAAAAAGGTCAGTTTTAATAAATCAGAGTAAATATTTTTTTAAATTTATTTAATGGGCAGGACCCACAAGTTTGTACCGTAAAAAAACTAGGTTTGATATCATTTGGTTATGTTAAAAAAATTGAAACAATGCAAATAATTGGGTCTTTTTTCATTATTTTTGCCCCACACAGTTTTATTTTGCACGTAATTGAGCGATAATATTTTGAATGTACGTGTGCATGGACAGGCTGAAAGTGCGACCCCATAAGCTTCACAAAAAATTTTTTTTTGAGAAAATAATATATCAACAGATTGGCACTGTCTTTCTCAAACTATTACTTAAAATATTTTTCAAATTATTGGAATGGATGAATACATAATGGTAAGGAATAAAACTAATGGTGATGTAATTGTTTATTGTCAAAACATTATTAAACAACAATTTTTCCATTCTTAATACGTATACCCTTTAGTTTTTGGGGAAGACTGGGTTGTTATATTTAATTTTATGCTTTTTCTTTTGTATTTTTATATTATTTTGAATGAAAATTTCTGATCTGACAGTATTACAACTTGCAAACATTTAATCTGTTACTGTTTTCAAAATAGTTATACAAAACAAACGTCTTTTAAAGTAAAGAAGCGCATATTTAGACAATCGTAAAATAGATTTTGCACTTCGATACTTAATATTAAGCACTTTTTGCTCACTCAAAGTTAAACTATTACAAACAACATTATTAAAATTTATCTAATTTAATAAATTAATAATTATATTTCTTCTTTAAATAACATTTTTCTCATACATAACTGACACTTTTTAAAATGTTTTTTAATTTTTTAATTTTAATTTTTAAAAATTCCAGCTTGAAGCCGATGACAACCTATTGTAGGTTTCTTAACAAGACAAAAGAAAACCAATGCTTAATTGGAACTATTAAAAGAAAAAACTACTAACAAAATAATATAAATATAATCTATATCGTACATACAGTTCTTTACATTCATGGCAAGAGAATAGGAGAAAAAATTGAACCGAAGAAGTACAGACTTAATAACAAAGTGCTTAGCACTATGAGTATATAAATATATATAATAATAAGGAAGATGCAAGAGCTAAGTATAAAAATTGCTGAACCTACAACAAGTCTTGGCACAGTTAGGAAAAGACCAGTCTTTGATTTCACTTTTAAAATTAAAGTTACAGATTAATTACAAAAAAAAAACACCAATACATTAAAATATTATAACTACTAATTCACAGGCTGGTTACGGATTGATTTAGAGTGTCAACCGAGGCAGTTGTTTTACCAAACCTGATCTCATCCCTCAACGTGAGCAAGATGCGCTTGATGTCTTTGTTCTGGGGTGGCACGAGCATAAGCGCTTCTTGCACATCCTGCAAAGCATTATCGTACTCCCTGGAAATTCAAGGAATTTCAAATTAATACATTTTAGCGTCATAAGTTACAAATATTGTGGACAATTATATTGGATTGTCTGGAAAATCATGCAGTTTTTCAGTTTTCTTTTAATTACACTTCTGTAATAAAATGTTTATGTATGATGGATTATTCTTTTATACAAATGTCAGCACTTTTTAATGCTCTTCTAAACAAAAATGTTTGTTTACCTCAGTACTGTTTCGTTACACAGGAATAATTCAGTCTTTACTAACATGGCAATGATTTTTGGGCAATTTCGTTTTTTTTGGGTTTAAACTCGGTCGGAACGGAGCCCAAATGGCCAGAGAAACAATAATGAATTCTGGGGCGTTGGCAATGTGAGTGGGAGCACAATTCAGAAATGGTTTAAAAAATTTCTAGAGGGGTCTTTAGCTTTGAAAAGAAGTTCGTGGAAGGATTTTAACCCTGGATGATGATACGAGCTTTGATCCCCGAACAACTGTTCGAGAACTGACAGAGAATATTTCAGTAAGGAAATTGACTGTCCCTGACCACCTTAAGGCAACTGAAAAGGTTCATCATACATTAAAGGACGGCCAAAAAAATAATTGTTTTGGAGTTTGCAATACTTCTTAGCTGAAATGTAAAAGATCCTTTTTCTGGATAAAATTGTTACTTGTGATAAAAACTGGATTCTCTATAATAACAGCATCTGGACAGTGGTTCGACAAAGGAAGAAGCAGTACCACATTTTCCAAAGCCACCAACTCATCAAAAAAAAGTGTTGGTGACTCTTTGGTGGGCTTAATTTGGACTGACTTACTACATCCTTCTGAATCCTGGCGAAACAAACAATACTGAAATGTATTGCTCTCAAATTGAAGCAATGCACCATAAATTAGTCTTATTGAAGGTATCTTGGGCCAATTGGAAAAGGCTGATTCTGTGACATGACAAAGCTCGGTGTGTGGTATTGAGTTCTCTGATAAACAAAGAATGTACAATGTAAGAGTATGAGAATTTTCTCAAATTGAACATATATACAATTGTGTGATGGCCAAAAGTTGTAAAGAGCTTTAAAAATCAAATCTTTGCTGAAACGTAAATGGTCCTTTTCTGGATAAAATTGTTACTTGTGATAAAAACTGGATTCTCTATGATAACGGCATCTGGGCGGTGGTTTGGCAAAGGAGAAGCAGTACCACATTTTCCAAAGGCACCAACTCATCAAAAAAAAGTGTTGGTGACTCTTTGGTGGGCTTAATTTGGGCTGACTTACTACATCCTTCTGAATCCTGGCGAAACAAACAAATCTGAAATGTATTGCTCTCAAATTGAAGCAATGCACCATAAATTAGTCTTATATATTGGCATCTTGGGCCAATCGGAAAAGGCTGATTCTGTGACATGACAAAGCACGGCGTGTGGTATTGAGTTCTCTGATAAACAAAGAACTTCAGGTGTAAGAGCATGAGAATTTTCTCAAATTGAACATAGATACAATTGTGCGATGGCCAAAAGTTGTAAAGAGCAGTAAGAATCAAATTGAAGTCTCTGGCTCTGTTAATTATTGAAGTCATGTCAAAATAATTCTAATGAATTATATTATCAGAGGGACACGATGCTGAAGTAAATGCAATAAAGAATATTTTATAGATTTGTTGTAATTTAAACCCAATGTAAATGCATTGATATATGGATTCCGTTTTTTAAATAAATAAACCGATTTTTAATTACCTGAGGTCAACATGTGCTTTTGCCCTTGTGTAGTACGCCTCGTAGCAGTCAGGTTTTTGTTTCAAAACCTGTGTTGCAAGGTCCACTGCTGCCTGTGGCTCCTGAAAAATAAAAACCTTCCGTGAATATTCAGACCCTCGTAGGAAAGAAAATTCCTTATATGACAATTTGACATTCATTTATACACTTACATTCATTTTTCGTTTGCACCTTGAGTGATTGAGCAAAAAGTTGAGCCTTAGCTGTCTGAAAGATGAATCGAGGGTTTCAAGAGGGGGAAACTTATTCAAGGCATAATTGTAACGGTGAGCAGATTCTTGTAATCTGTTTTTCCTATATAACACATTCCCATCTTCCAACAGTTTATTGAGCAAAACAATCCTGTAAAATATTTATAAAAAATGAACTAAAAATTTTTTAAAATACATTTGTTCACTATTAATAAAAATCTTATCTATAATTAAATTTGAATTATTTGATTATAAATAGAATGTTAACGTACATAATGTCATTTTTGCCTTCTGATAATGTCCAAGTAGTTGGCCCAAGTTTAGCACCTTTTTTTAAAAATATCTGTACTACAGGGATATTGCGGTATAATATCGCTTGGTCAAGGGGTCGGAGTCCGTTCATGTCTACATGTTCCAGCAGTGCACCTCTCTCCAGCAGAATCTAGAATCAAATGCAATCAGCGCATTGACAATCGACTATAGATTTGATAGAACTTACTTGAACAAGAGCTGGATTGCCCTGAGCTGCTGCATGGTCCAACGGGATCTTGCCAACTACATCGACCTGGTTTACCCTCGCTCCTCGATCTAATAGAGCCTGCGCCGCCTGGAGCCGACCTCTCGAACAAGCCCAGACGAGTGCAGTCTGTCCTTGTTTGTCCTCTTTATCTAAGTCGGCTCCCTTATCCAAAAGTAGCTCGATCAGGCCGACATGGCCTTCTGACGCAGCGACCATCAATGGCGATCTACCTTGGTCATCGACCTGTTCGACTGGGGCATGCAACTGTAGCAATTTTTCAGCCACCACCCAATGACCTTCTTTCACCGCCAGAACGAGTGGAGAAAGATTCTAAAAAAACACCAAAACAAATGAAAATATAAATATAAAGCATACATTTGTAAATGCAATTGTGTAAATTTGTAACAATAAATGTAACTATTGGGCTGGTGCAAAAATAATGCAGGTTTTGCAAAAGCAGTCAAAACTATTTTTAATTAATTAAGGTTTTAAGTTGAGATAAAAAAGTCAGTGTCACGAGCGGGATTCGAACCCACGATCTTCGGCTTGATACGCTGCTACTTGCTACTCTACCACTTGAGCTATCGTGACTTCGATCCCCTCGGGTACTAACTTCCCATTTCAACCCCACCTTTTGAATTTTCCCTCCTTTTTGCAATTTTTCAGGATCAAGGTCACGATAGTTCAAGTGGTAGAGCAGCAGAGTTTCTAGCCGAAGATCGTGGGTTCGAATCCCGCTCGGGACATTGACTTTTTTATCTCAACCAATACGTTATTTAAAGATTAATTAATTGAAAAGAATTTATTTCGTCAATTGGACCACAAAACCTAATCGATTTAATAAGCAAAATGAAGTGTACTTCACTAAAGCTCTCCGTGGCCATTTCATTTGTCGCTGAGAATCAAATATATTACACGACATTTGAAAATTGGCAAAAAGGAGGGAAAATTCGAAAGGTGGGTTGAGATGGGAAGTTGGTGTCCGAGTGGATCGAAGTAACGATAGATCAAGTGGAAGAGCAGCGGCGTATTTAGCCGAAGGTCGTGGGTTCGAATCCCGCTCGTGACGCTGACTTTTTTATCTTAACCAATACCTTACTTAAAGATTAATTAATTGAAAAGAAAAATGTTCAAAATTTGAACACACACAAATGTTGGAATGCCAGACAACTATTACATTTTAACCTTCAATATCTTCTGTCCTATTTGACTTATAAAACTCACCCTTTCAACTTTTGCAATAACAGATAATCTAACAAAAAATGTATTACTATAGAATTTAATTAATTATTCTTTTTATCTAAGGTTTTTGGTTGAGGTGAAAAATTAGTGTCACGAAAGGGGTTTTCTTCGGCTCAATAACAAGTGGTTAGAGCAGCGGCGTATTGTGCTAAATTCACTAGTTTTCATGATCCGCTTGACCAATTAATATCTTTCAATTAATTAAGGTTTTAGTTGAGATAAAAAAGTCAGTGTCACGAGCAGGATTCGAACCTTCGACCTTTGGCTCGATACACTGCTGCTCTGCCACCTGAGCTATCGTGACCTCGATCCATTTGGACACAGATAAAAAAGTCAGTGTCACAAGCAGTATAAACTAAAATGTTTGATATAAAAAATAATAGTAAAAACTATTTATTATAATCCATAAATTGTATTTGAGGATGTAGCTTTGTTTACAAGACAAGCACCTGCAAATATAAAACAAATTTTAAAAACCTGCATTAATTTTGTATCAACACAATATACTTAAATAATTTGGTTGTATATATTTTGATTTATGATTAAAAAAATTACCCTTTGGTTGACTTGTGAAATGTGGGCACCCCTGGCCACGAGAGTTGAACATATTTCTGTACAGCCGTTCATGGCAGCAACAGTGAGTGGAGTCTCTCCTGTCAGCTTGTCACACATACTCGGAGACACCTCTGCTAGGTCCAGCAGATATTCCACAATCTAAAAGAAAAATCATTTGTAAGTGTTTCGTCTGAAGATGGAGCTATTTTCTTCTATTAAATACTTACTTCGACATGTCCTTGGGCAGCAGCAGCAACCAGAGCTTGCTGTAAGGCAGGTGCTAACTCTACTTCGTTTTTGTTGTCCTGGATCATCCAGTCACATGAGATCAGATAACTCACTACATTCAGATGGCCGTTTCTCGCTGCATGCACCAAAGCACACCTTCAAAAGTTAACATCAATGTAGTATACAGCCAAGCATAAGGTTATGAAATTTGTATGACTATTAAAAATTGATAACTATTGTTTTGAGAAATTACATTTCTATATATAATTTATGTCTTACTTTCCACCAGTGTCAACATGGCCTAGTGAAGCACCCGCTGCAATGAGTTGGCTCACAACATGCATATGTCCTCTTGTTGAAGCCAGGATCAAGGCGGTGCTACCCTGGCTGTTCGCCGTGTGTACGCTGGCACCGAATTCCAGAAGAAGACTGACCATCTCTTGGCAGCCTTCATGTGCATACAAACATAGCACTGGAGCTCGGCCTAGATTCTCCGTTAAATGATTAGGATCCGCACCAGCGAGCAACAATAAACGGGAAACCTAAACACACCACAGGTTAAAGAAACATTTAAAAAATAAATATAAAATTTACTCACCATGACATTAGGACTGTATATGTTTCTCAAGGAGCAAATTGCACCAGAAACATCCGCAGCCATATTGGCAACCCAATGTGCTTGAAGGTCTCGAGAAGGGTTTCTGTGAAGAGTCATGTTTTTGTAAATATGCGCTTTTAAAATGTGATGGCCAAGTTCCAAAGTTTTGTCAGCATCGAGAGGTGCTTCTAATCTAGATAGCCTGAATACGATACCAGCATGGCCATTTCTATAATAAAAAAAATGTATTAAAAAAAGTGATCAGTTTCTGTTAAATTTTTGTATTTTAAATAGCCAACCTGAGATCACATAAAAATTTAATGCTCTCTCCTTCATCCCGCCTAATCAGCCACTCCCTAAAGGATGGATGGAAAAACATGTATGTGTTATCCATACGTTTGATCAGAAGGCCCGACAAGCACTGTAAAAAATTAATACATTACAAAATTAAAAAAATAAAAATAAATATACGGTAGCCAACCTTAAAGCGCTGTAGAAACTCATCCCAAGATAGAAAATCGACTGTATTTAACGAATTGACCGAATAATAAATTTCAAGAAGCGTAAGTGGGTAAAGAGCTGCTAGGCAGACGCTTATTATCGGAGCGACCTTCTCGAAGGATTTGTTAGTCGGAAAGCGTAGATTGAAATGAAGGAGGTAGATCTGTGCAAGGCTGACTGGGAGGACCTTGTAGCTTGAAGATTTCGCTACAAGGCTGCCTCTTTCGATAAGGTCGAGTGTGAGCTTGGCAAAGAGCATCGAACCCTTAGCTAAACCAGCAAGGTGCTGGCAGAACCGAAACTGTCCATTGGCTCCAGATATAATGTTACACTGGATGCTTGGGCTGTGTGTCACCCTATAGTTGATATAGTCGAGCAGGTCCTTCTGAAGCGACTCACTATGCGTGCTCGTTATGTCCAAACTGAAAATATTTTCATTCGGTTAAACTTGGTACAGATTGAATATCAGTTTACAAAGAATAAGTTGATTATTACCTTAGTTGTTGGAATGGCATTGTGGTCATCACTTCGTCCATATGGGTTCTGACTGTAAGTACAAACTTCAACCAAGATGGACCGGCATGCGAATGCCTGGAAACAAATGAAGCGATCGTGTCTCCAGTATCAGGCCTGTGGTACTCAGCTTCACAAAGGCCATCGATCAGAATAATACATTTGACCCCTGATAGCTTTCCGACACGCCTCAGAGCTGATAGGGGTTCAAGTACGCCATGGCGCCATGCTCCGTCTGGGTCAGCCATGCATTCTTTAATTGTTAAGTATGCCTGCAACGAAAAATAATATAAAGCTCATTTCCTAAATTCAAACAATTACACATAAATATAACCTATACGAAACTGAAAAAAGTACAAAGTATGACAGTAGATAATGAGTATAAAAACTTACCAAAACGTGAGGTTCAGTCTGTAAATATTCCTTGTATGCCGATAGCTGTGGTGCTTGGCACAGTTGGGCTGCGATGGAGTGTATGAAATCGGGAACGTGACATGTAGAATTGTTATCGGACTGGAGAAACATGAATAGGTTAATACAATTGAACTCATGCTAAAAAAAATAAAATGAAATGATACCTGACAAAAATGATACGCTACGACATGAGATGCGAGACGTTGAATTCTCTCTGAGACTAGATTAATTTGACAGTATATGCTTTGAGTTGTGCTTGAGCTTGGATTTGGCCTGTCTTTGCCATTGTAAACATGAAGATCTGGAAAAATAAGTGTTAATTGAGGGATCTGGATGGTTAGGATTGACCGATGACTTACCTTGCTTCCTACGACCAAAACAGCTATATTCGACTAGCTGCAACATCAAGGCGGTTTTTCCAGTTCCTGGATGCCCCGAAATGAGCACACCCGGCAAAGACGTTCCGAGGCAATGCTCGATTTCCTTCACAATCCCATCGCGACCGATGAAGATGGGATCCGACTCTTGAACCGGCACTTCAAAGAATAACGGCTTCAATGGTAACTGCTGTGCACGATATTGAGCGAATCTTACTGAAATTATAAATCCGACAATGGTTAAAAATTATATGGAAGAATAATTGTAATTCATAGAGTTGAGATGTATAGGAAAAATTTTACTGAAAATTATTTCAAAAAAATATTTGATTTCTAAATAATTGAATCTTGTCATATTTTAATAAAATAACGTTTATTTAATCAAATAAGTCAAAATTAGTCAAATATTTAAAATGTTTCATTGATATGCAATTAATAAAGTACAAAAAATCGATAATTGTAAACTTAAATAAGCAATATGGTTAAATTAATTTTTAACTGTGTTTACTGAGCAAAATAATTAAATTTAGCATATTTGCAATGTAACAATTAAAAATGTTAGAATTGTTAAAAAAAAATTCTCAAAATTATCAACTCTACTATTCAAAGACAAGCATACATTTGCATAAGTTTGAAAAGCAAATTTTATATACAAAATGTGTTTAGTTTGTGTGCTTAATTAAATTACCTTTAGGGTCAATGGGCCCTTTGACTGTACCAGACCTTGCTGACCTCCTAATGCTCTGTTTTCTGTTTTTGAATGCGTTGAGCTCTTGCTGTTGTCCTGGATGGGATGCTGAAATTCAATGCATGCAATGCTTTAGCGGCACTCAATACTACCTAAGTTAGTGCTACATTCACAAAAACATGTGATTTTCATTGTGAACAAAAACTGTTAGTTGCTAAAAAAAAAAGCAAAACGGAACTTGATTCGAAGTCACTTACTTGTTAGGGAATGCCTGCGTTGAAGTGGACTTGAAGAACAGTTGCTATGACCTGACATCGACATTAATGACCCGACGCTATCGGATGAAGGTTCTTTCAACGTCCTATGGGGATCAGCTTCTGACGAACCTTTGACGGAAGTGAAATTCACGTAAATTTCTTGTTAAAAACAACAAACAAAATTGAAATACCTGTCAATGTCGAGACAGGACTGGTGTTGGTTGAAGCTAATGTGTGCGCCTCCAAACTTGCCAAGGATGATATTGAATCGTGGCTTCTTGAGCTACGATTACCAGTCCTCGAGTTGGATCTCTTTGCATTTTCTCCGAGTAAAAGACCCAGCCGCATGTACATGTCTTGCTGGGAGCTCTTTTTCGGCTGGCATACCGGTTTAATATTACCACCTTCATCATCTACAAAACAATTTTAATCATTATTAATTAATAGCAAATAAAAATTTATAAACTGAAAAAGTCCAACACCACAAAATAACTAAACAGAACATAAAAAAAAGGAAAAACATTCAAAAAGCTATTTCATTGTGCAAACATTTGCTATTTTTTGGAATAATTCAATAATAGATATTTAGTTTTATGCAAACATGCTCGATTGCTTGATGGCTATGCATTGATTACTTGTGGCAGTAACAATAAAACTTCCAAGTTTTCAATGGATTAAGTTCATTGTGGTACACGCCTAGCTCAGTAGATATAGGCCGTAATAAGTTAAGATAAACACACAAAAATTACAATGAAAATAGTGAAACTATTAGTAATAATAACTTAAAAAATAAAAAACACAAACTCCATTTCTTAAAGCTGTGCATGTGAAAAGAATTGGCCAATCAATATTCAGTAATTAAAGTAAGTTAAAATAAACTAAAAAAAAGTGCCTTGACATGCTCAAAAACCACACACAAAAATACAGTAAAAATATTTTTATAATAAGAAAAGGCTTGAAAAAATACACAAAAGTTAAACAAAAAAAAGTTAAAAAAAAGAACAAGCAGGCAAGTATTTCTGGTTCATTGCCTGATACTAGTTGATTGAGGCCTGTCATTGCCGAGGATGAGGAACTCCAGAGTGATTTTATTTTCCCCAGCACAACTGAAGACCACCTCCGCGACTCCATCGCTGCAGAGGCCGATGAAGTCATAAACGCTACAAAACCGATTCCATTGAAACAGAAACACCGACGGTAATTTTTTTTTTTTTTTTTGAAATGAAGTGGTGGAAAATATGTGCATCTATCTTCATTTTGTGTTCATAAAATGGGAATTTAAATGAAACAGAAGGATAACTGGGTAAGAAAAAACTATCCTCGGAAGTCAGTTGTTTTGATATTAAATTGTAAAATAGAGAAAAAGCCTAATTGTTAGTAATGAAATTATATTTTCTTCAGATTCTTATTAATAAATTTTTCCCAACAATCGTTGTAGTTTCACAAAACCATTCAAATGTGTATTTGATAAAGACACCTTTTATTTATTTATTTTATTAAGAAAACATTTCCTCACATTGTCGTGAAGCATATATTATTACATATTTATGTTAAAATGCCAGTATAATCACCATTCCAGAATAAATTACAACGTGGTGGAATAAATAATTAACTTAAAAAATAAAATTGGAATGATTTTGCTACCAATTTAAGTGCAAATTACTCGAAGATTTAAAAAAAAAAACAAAAAAAAAATTCAATTTGGTGATTTATTTCTAACTATATTTATATTAATTTCAACATACTTATTTTAATGCAAACTAACGTAAATGAGATCAGAAATTCATAAGATAATAAAAATATTTAATTATGATAGTTTGAAAGAAAATTTACCAATATACTGGAAAATGATTTAGTTGTAGAATAAGTAGAATAAATTGTTAGTAAAATTTTAATCTACCATTAAATTATTTTCTCGTGTTTTGGTGAATGTACTTTCAAATCATTATAATTAAATATTTTGATTTAAACTCATGAATTTATGATCTTGTTTAAGGTTTACTTTAAAATAATCATGTAATTATTATAATGACAAAAATACATATATATAGTTGAAATAAACAATAATATATTGAGAGGGTCCGGTTATTTGCCTTTTTAAGAATTAGAAAGAATTCTTTGACTATATGATACATGTAATATGCTGTGAGCATGAATAGTAATTTATGCTTAGATTAATCATCATGCAATTACAGAATAAACTACAAAGTGGTGCTATAAATAATTAAAAAAAAAATCGAAATGATTTTTGGTACAAATTTACCCAGATTTAAAAAAAAAAATTACAACATTCTTATTTTAATGAAAAACCAACAATTAAATGAGATGAGAAATTCATAAGTTAATAAAAAATATTTAATTATGATGGTTTGAAAGAAAATTCACCAAAACACTGAAAAATGATTTAGTGATAGAATAAATTGTCAGTTAAATTTTAATATAATCTATCATTAAACGAATTTCCGGTGTTTTGGTGAATTTACTTTCAAATCAACATAATTAAATATTTTTTATTAACTTATAAATTTCTCATCTCATTTAATTTGGTTTTTCATATTTTTCATAAATATTTTTTATTTAAACTCATGAATTTACGATCTTGTTTAATTTGATTTACAATAAAATGATTGTATGTAATTATTATAACGACAAAAATACATACATATAGTTGAAATAAACAATAATATATATTCAAATACGTAATAATATAGGAAGGGGTCCTGTTTTTCTGCCTTTGAGGGCATGCATCTGATAAAGAAACTTTTTTTATTATTAGAAAGAATTCTTTGACTATATGATACATGTAATATGTTGTGAGCATGTATAGTAAGTTATGCTTAGATGTCAGTATAAAAACCACACAATTTCAGAATGAACTATAAAATGATTGAATAAATAATTAAATTAAAAAATAAAATCGAAATGATTTTGGTCCCAATTTAAATGCAAATATTCTCAAAAATTACAAAAAAATCGTATTTATTACAACATACTTATTTTAATGTATACCAACTTAAATGAGATCAGAAATTCATAAGTTAATAAAAAATATTTAATTATGATGGTTTGAAAGAAAATTCACCAAAACATTGAAAAATGATTTAGCGATAGAAAAAATTGTCAGTTAAATTTTAATCTAATCTATCATTAAACAAATTTCCGGTGTTTTGGTGAATTTACTTTCAAATCGTTATAATTAAATATTTTTGATTTAAGCTCATGAATTTATGATCCCGTTTAATTTGGTTTATATTAAAATAAGAATTTTTTAATTATTATAACGATAAAAATGCATACATATACTTTGAAATAAACAATTATATAGGAGGGTCCGTTTTTTTATTTTTTTAAATTATTATTATTAGAAATAATGCTATGACTATATAATACGTATAATATGTTGTGAGCATGTATGCCTGTAATGTCAGTTTAATCATCCCACAGTTACAGAACAAACGATAATGTGTGCAATTAAAAAAATAAAATCCAAGTGATTTTTCGTAACGATTTAAGTGCAAAACAGATAATTCAAATGAATTAAGACATATAATATAAATTCGCTACATGTTATTGATTGAATCTGACTTAGATCATTTATGAAACCGGAGCTACAGCAAGGCGAAAAAAAAATCAGGATGACTAAAGGTCATGTTTGACTATGGTAACCAATTTAAAAAAAAAAGGTTAAATATATACTTTACTTAATAATGCGGCTCTTTTCATGATGACGGAAATAAAATCGAGACATGCTGGACGAAATAATCGAAGTAGAAACAAACATTACGGCTTTTTTTTTCTTTTTTCTTAAGACGCTTCCTCCGTTTATAACGATTTACCAGACGATTTTAGAACCCATCACCGGTCTGCGGTGTGTTTACCTGTTTGACGGTTTGAGTGACGGTTCAAAATGGGATACAATTTTTTTAAAAGAGAAGGCAACTAATGTTTTAAGAATTATTTACAGTTCCGTTATCTTCCTTTCCCTCGAGCAATCATAAATTGGTTAAAAAGTAACATAACGACCTAAAAGGCCGACGTCTTCTGTTGTATACAGTGATTTTTTTTACAAGGGCATTTCAACTACCCTTGCCGGTGTTTAAAGAAAAGCCCATTTGTAAGTTCGAACGCAGCGGCATCTTTACCTTACCGCCATGAGGGCAAAATCTAACTTGTCTTAAGGAAGTCGAATAAAAAGAAGTACGTTATACCCGGTCCTCACTGTATTTGGGTGTACAGATATAACGATGTACCTCGTTTTATACGACCTCTTTAAGACATACTAAAAATAAATACCATCAATTTGTTTCAATTATTATCTTTATTTCCGCGAGCGAAGGGAAATTTGAAGGTATACACCTGAAGACAAAGTTAGGACATACGCGTTGTGGTTTACCGGTACTGATAAACCGGAACGTGATCGCCAACTACTTCCGGTGAAACTGCTTAAGTACCGTACCTGATCTGGTAACCTAGACATTGGATCTACTACCTGCACAGCCGAGACCGGAGGGTGGCTAGGGACTGTCGGTCATCTGCACAGGTTTCTGTATTCAGTTTGGTCGAAAGCGGACGCTCTCGCATTTTTCGTTTTTGTTCACCAAGTCATATCGAGAGAGGAATCATCAAGTGATCGAGGTGTTTATTGAGTTGTCATCAGAACCGTGTTCAAGGAGTTCTTGATCGTGATATGAGAGATGCCGCTTATGAGAAATTGTTGACAAAGCTAAAGCCTGACTCATCAAAGTAATCAGGAATAAACCGATCGCGTCCTCTCGCGAGGAAGCCATGGCAAATGGAGCTAAAACCTCCGGTTTACTTATAGGTTTATCGTTCCTTTTATGAGCTCGTTACCTGTGCACGTAACCTCTACACTTTGCCCGCAAATTCATCGTGTACGGCTGGACTTAGAACGAGCTAGATTTCGGAAATAGTAATTATAGAATAGTAGTCTGTCGCAGGGATTTGAATACTAGTAGAAATAAAATTAATACGGCACTGAGATAAACAATTTGCCTATATAAATTTAAGTAGTTTAGTACGAATATGTAATCTTGTATGCTAAAATAAATTATTTTTCCTCGACAACTTGTTAACTTAAATTACTAATTAAATACATTATATTTCGTGGTCCGATTGACCAAATAACTTCTTTCAATAATTAATATTTTTTTATGTAAGGTATTGGTTGAAATAAAAAGAAAAAAAAATGGTTGAAAAATGTTAAAAAGGAGAGAAAATTCGAAAGGTAGGTTGAGATGGGGAGTTGGTGTCCGAGTGCATCGAAGTCAAGTGGTTAGAACGTAGAGCAGCGCATTGAGCCGAAGGTCACGGGTTCGAATCCCGCTCGTGACATTAACTTTTTCATTTCAATCAATACCTTACATAAAAAAAGATTAATTAATTGAATTAAATTTTACTAAGGATACTTTACCTAGGAGGAAGATTTTCTTTTTAATAATGGAGGTTACAATTAATTAAAAATGTCGGGCAAAATCTTACCAGAAAGGGCATTGTCCGAAGGGGCCCTGGAAGAATTCCTGAGACCCCACGGGTTCCTGAGGGCCTTGGGGCTGAGGAAGAACTTCTTTCGGCCCTGGGGCGGAGTAGGGCAGCCTGAAAAAAAGTAAGCAGAGATAAGCTGTTGGGGTTCATTGTCAAAATATTCAATAATCGGCTTCTCGTGAGATTGTCCAGATGCTGTCATCAATTTTTATCTCCTATCCGGTTCGTTGCAATGCGATGGCTTCTCGGTCTATTTTCGCCACTTTATCGCATCATATTGTTTGTTTCCTTTATTTTTTTTTTTTTTACAACGTGGTATCACATATCAGATATTCTTGTCTGGTGCCAATTGTGCGATAAAATTAATTATTTCGCGAGGCTTTTTTATAACTATTTCAAGCAAACGATGCGGCGCCTGGAGTGTATTAATTTGTTTTATAATTAGATATGTTTAATTACTTTTTTCTGGAAAAGGCCAATGAAAATAAGGCAATAAATGCAACGAACAAATTTTATTTTTGTACAATCTAGTCACGAGTATCTTATCTGTAAATGAAATAATTTATTTTCTTGGCGATTTTTAATTTTGTGTAAAAAAATTAATTCTAAATGAAAAAAAGTGATAATTAAAATGCAAAAACGTTAAGTTGATTATTACTCAGAAATTGTTAGATGCGGTCTGGTGTGACGTAGGTTTTAGAAAAAACATTTTCTTTATCGTGCCAACGTTTCGATCTTTTTTGAGATCATCTTCAGGGCTCAAAGTGTTTGTTTTCTGCGTAATTGTGTCATTCTTTCGTGTTATGTTGATTCGAAAAATTTTAGAAGTTTTTTTACTATTTCAAAATATTCAGTGGTGGGTTTGTCCAAAATAACCCTCAGAACAACACGAAATAGCCGAAAAGAGAGACAAAAACTGCGAGGTTAGGCGGACCAAACAGCCGAAAACAACCTAACTACATTTCCATGACCTTCAAGAAGACATCACAACACTTTATCACACTGAAGCCCGTAAAAATATGTTACAAAGTTTTATTCATTAATATTTTTATGTAAGGTTTTGGTTGAAATGAAAAAACAAATGCCACGGACTTTCGGCTAAATACGCAGATGGTTCTACTCATCCGAGTGGATCGAGGTCACGATGGCTCAAGTGGTAGAGCAGCGGCGTATTGAGCCGAAGGTCGTGGGTTCGAATCCCGCTAGTGGCATTAGCTTTTTCATTTCAACCAAAACCTTACACAAAAAGATTAATTAATTGAAAGAAGTAATTTGGTCAATAGTCCACTAAATACAATGGATTTTATTCATTGTGAAAAATCCATTTGCGCTGGTGGAGGCCCGAGGCGCGTTATATTTACGGACAGCGATTTCCGGCCTCCACGTTTCGAAAGTCCAAGGTAAAAATCAAATTGTGTACTTACTCTGTGTCATGGCGTTGCAGGGATGGTTGCAGCATTCTTTGTTCGGCCTCGGGAGTCGACTCGGAGATGTGTCCCTCGTCTGGTCGGTCCTCGCCTGAAAGCACGAAAACATTTTAGAAACGGCCGACTAACAATAGCAATGACGCGCCTTTGGAATTATTTAACTGGAAAACTCCCACGTAAAAAAATTCATTCCTCGCGTAATAAAAGGAAAACCGGCGGCCTTCACATACTTTGAATTTCCGTCGGGTCCATTTACATCATAAATTGATCTAAATGTAAACATGAAGTCTTACAGAAGACGCTGTCGCGCCTATTTAAGCCAAGCGTCTCTGCATTACCCGGACCCCCCCCACCACGGGTTATGTTATATGTTATAATAACAAGTTAAGTTCGAAAATAATTAATAAAATCTTAAAAACAAATTTATACTGTTTTGTTAGCTAGACGATGAAGTGAGGTAGTTCTCAATGTATGAGAACTCAAAATATATAATATAAAACATTCACTCGTCAATCTGGAGAATTTTGGTTTTCTTAAAAAAGTTTAAAACTATCGGATGGGATACTTCGACATCTTTATACACCTCAAGGATGTGAATAAATGCCAAATTCCAACTAGCTAATATATCTAAATTGTTTCGATCTCGAGGGCAAAACTGAAGCGACTATTTTGAAACTGTAATTGAGGGAGAACAAGTCGAAAAATAAAAAATGCAATCTTTTCAAAACGTCACAGTTTTTAAAAATTATAATAATAATTTCCCCATTCCACACAAAAGGCAGAATCAATTCTCTATCTCTACATCTACACAGAAAACAAACACTTTGAGCAGCCCTGAAGATGATCTCAATAAAGATTGGCACGATAAAGAAAATGTTTTTTTAAAACTACGTCACACCAGACCGCATCTCACGATCTCCAAATAATTAAAAATACATACTGAAGTCAATGCCTAAACATCAAAGTTAGCTCGTTGTAGGAGGAATTAAAAAACTTTGATATTAAGAGTGAAAGTGAGAGAAAGCACGTGCTCAAAATGTTCATGTAAGGTAGTATGATTGATTTAGTCGGCGATTTTGAACTGAAAGTGTTTGAAATAACCGGCCTCGGGTTCAACTACGTGTAAGTATTTTATAGCCGTCGTGATCCGATCGGATGTGTCGGCTTCCATTACCGGCCGGACAATCTTTCGGAAATATCCTCGGGTGGGTGTGATCCCTCGACCCACTCCCTTATAGGGTTTTAATTGACTAATTTGTCTTTCAACCGGACAGGCCGTGTAAATATAGAGGCGGAATAAATTCGATGTAACAAGTCGGATATTTTTTCTTTTCCGCAGTTCGAACCCGAGGCGTTGCTATTGACCAATCTTCGTCCCCCAAGGATATTTACACGCCTCACGGAAGAAAGATCTGCTCTGCCTAATTCTTCTGTAACTATTTCTACGGCCACCCACGGCCTTGGGCGGTTTCGATCATCATGTCGAATATTTATATCTATCTCACGTTTTTTGGCTGAGATAGATAAACAGGCCCCCGAGGACGAAGGATTTTTCCTTCCAAGTATCCCAAATACAGAGTATAAACGGAGTTAAAATATTATGCGCAAAGGTAGATTATATCATAATGAAATGTCATGATTAACGATTGCTTATTCTTAATTTAATACATGCTAGCCGTCTATTAGATCTACGCCTAATAAACGAGGCATGTTTCCATTAGATAAGAAACATGTTCTAATGCTAACATTTATTATTTATAGATATAGGTAGTAGATATTAGCAAATTACATGCAGTTTATTTGTTATGCTTAGGATGACAATTCCGCTGAATTTTTATCTCATTACAAAAAATCATTATCAAAGTAAGATAAATCAACGGAATGTTAAAATCCAATTAATACTATTATGTAATTGCTACATGGCTTAAATTAACGTTTTGGTTTGGATTTATGGAACATCCTACCAGCAACCTATTATCTTAACCTAAAATCCTATCTTAACGATCGTTACTTCCAAGTATCCTAGAGAAATTCATTGTCTCCTATTCATTCTAGTCTAGAAGGTGTCCCTCAGGGCAGCGTGCTCGCTCCTGTCCTTTACTCAATTTATACCTCCGATCTACCTACGCAACCTAACACTATCATCTTAACCTTTGCCGATGATACCGCAATCCTTCCTCCTGATAAAGATCCTGTCACAGCTTCCTGTAATCTCCAAAATCACTTACACATCCGACAGTGGAGAATCAAGATCAATGAAACCAAATCAGCAAACATAATATTTACCCTAAACAAGAAAACTCTCCAACCAACCTCAACAATGTTCCCCTCACAATTGCGAACCATGTACATCGGACTCTACCTGGACAAACGACTGACGTGGAACCCCCACACACGACTTAAGCGCACAGACTGAACGATTTTTCAAGCTTAAACGACTATTCGACAGACGATCAAATCTCTCACTAACAAACAAAAGAAAACTTTGCATAGCCCTCCTGGCCCCCATGTGAACTACGGACTTCAACTTTACGGCACTGCTAAGCGTTCCAACCTCAATCGAATCCAATCTCTTCAATCTAAAATACTCCACAGTAGTCAACGCCCCTTTCTATGTATCCAATCACACCAATACGGACCTAAACGTCCCTCTTGTTACTGAACTAGCCCAATCCCGCTACAAATATTCCATTCCAAAGTACCCCATCATCCGAACCCTTTCGTCAAAAACCTGTCATCCATCACATAATAATCCCAACAGAAGAATGAAACATCGGTGGCCCCTCGACAACCTGATCGCTTGGCATCGCTCTCCTAGGATGGAGTCCATCTCGCTCATCGTATTGATGTACTAACGGCTATCATCACTGGATGGTAGCTGTTCAAGCTTTCATGCTACTGTTATTATTGTTTATATGAAAATATTATATGTTTTACTTGTTGCGTCGAAGAACGCAGTTGTAAAAAGAATAAATAAATGATTGGATTTATACAATTCAAATCTGCCCATGTATGTAAATATATATGGTTCAGAGTCAATTCTTGCAGTCCACCAATTCCAGATTTTGTTATTTACAATAAATTGCCGGCAGACTTCGAGAATCACCCATCTCGGGTGTTGGCTATCCGGGGGAACCTCGTTCTTATACATCCAGCCACCGAGGTTGGTTAGGTGTCAACAGCTAGGTCATTTCAGTATCCAACGGTTCCTAAATTCCCATTCACTATCCCTCATTCTTAAATACACAGTAATCGCTGTTCCTCCATCACCCTCTATACATAAATAACATAATAACTAAGATGGGGATTGATTGTATAATCAATATTCCGCTATTGACGGTTTTACACTACACATTCACTCTCAACACACGCTAGGGAGAAAAAATATTACTATGTATAATAAAACAACCCTGTTTTATCCAAAAGGCGAAACAGGATACCCAAGCCGTGCTGAAGCACGATTCTCATATCGAGTGGCAATCCTACACGCTCTCTATATAGAGCCAAGGAGAGTTTCACCCTTCAGTTATGTGGGACACATCGAGCGAGCAACCTTTCTCCAAATGCCGGGCACATACGCGGGAATTTAAGGTTTTCTTGAAAATTTTTGGTTGTGCGTTCTCGTTTATCATACTGTGGTAATTGGGAGTGGAATCAAAGTCAACCAACATTATCACGATTTTTATTTGAAACCCTACATTTGTAGCTAAGTTAAATTTACTTTATTTACTTTTCGAGAAGAGATAGAGAATTGATTCTGCCCTTTGTGTCGAATGGGGAAATTATTATTAAAATTTTGGTTGGCACGAAAAAGGAAATGTTTTTCAAAAACCTACTTCAACGAAAGTGCTGATAATAAAAAAGTATATGTATATATATTGCTTTCTCGAAAATTGCTTCAACTTTTTAATCCAATGGTTGCTCACCGTATGGAACCCTCCATCGTTCGGCAACTCTGTTATATTCATCCTGTCCCAGTGCTTCCCTACTGATGTCAACAACTACAGAGGCATCTATTGATTCGGTTTCAAAGATTTTTTTGCTCTGTTGCTTCGACACATGGAGAATTTTGTCCGCGAAAAAGATATTCTAAAATGATGAAATTGGGGTGAATGTATGTGTATTGAATGTAGATTCTCTTTTTGTTAAGGTTGGTTCTACTCATCGGAGTGGATCGAAGTCACGATAGCTCAAGTGGTAGCGGCGTATCTAGCCGAAGGTCGTGGGTTCGAATCCCGCTCGTGACACTGACTTTTTTTAAAATCTCAACTGAAAACCTTAATTAATTAAAAGATATTAAAAGGTGGCGTTGAGATGGGAAGTTAGTGTCCGAGTGGATCGAGGTCACGATGGCTCAAGTGGTAGAGTAGCGGCGTATCTAGCCGAAGGTCGTGGGTTCGAATCCCGCTCGTGACACTGACTTTTTATCTCAACTAAAAACCTTAATTCATTGAAAGATATTAAAAGGTAGGGTTGAGATGGGAAGTTAATGTCCGAGTGGATCGAGGTCAAGATGGCTCAAGGGGTAGAGTACCGGCGTATCTAGCCGAAGGTCTTGGTTAGGGATGGTTGATACTTTTGTATTCACTAGTAATTCGCTAGTGGGAAAATGAATCTGGAGCAAATGATTTACAACTCGCAATTCGTCAGTCAGATTTTTAGAATTGGATCATCTTCGCGGTTCAGTTATAAAATTTGCTACTAACGAAAATATTGTAATGTAAAAGTATGTACTTAAAACGTACTGGTGAGTGTATGAAATCGTACCATATCGATTCAACGCCACGATTTAAAGTGTAAGAACTTCAATCGGCTTTTTCGCTATAAACCGCGGCTTTTATAACCAGTGACAGCTGTCGTCGAGACGAGGCAGCTGGCCGAGGAGTTTTACCCTTTTCTTTTCAAGGAGCGGGAGCGTTTTCCGCAGCAGATGGATTTCCCGTGCAGAAGGGGCCAGCTGCTTTCCTTAGTGACGAAAGGGCTGGTCCGATGGCCATCTACGCCGTCCGACTGACCCCCGATCGAATTTCAATTATTCAAAGACACCGTTACTCGGCTAAGTTGCCCAATTAAAAAATCATCCCTTAAAAT